ACAGTCGTCAAACAATAAGTTGTAGAAAGATTCACAACTTTCACAACTACAAACAACGATGTGTTTTTGATAACAAACGAGCTCTGTTTGCGCGCAGCATCTTTCGGCTGGAAATAATCGACCTGTACAGATACCGCTCATTTATTCTAAACAAAATATTTATTATCAATAAATCTGTTATACATAACTTGCCGTTTCAGCTCTACAAAGAATTTTTCAATACCTAATTATCAAATTTGGACAAATTTCATTTACGCGAATATAGAAGGATGATTAATAAAATTAATTGGTTAAAACATAAGTTGATTAAAAGACATTCCATTAAAAACTTAAAATATTTTGTAACTTCACGCGATCAGTCTCCTCAAAATATTGTTTCTACATCTTGCAATAGTTTTTTCACACATAATTCTTTCAGATTTTCCTTTTCACCGCCTACTATTGAACAACCTATTTACACAAATAACTTAAATTTTCAAACATTCTCAAGAAATTTATTAGAACCACGTAAAAATTGGTTTATTAACCTCACTAATACGTATATTCCTTCTGAAGTTTCTGGGTTGTTACAATTAGGAGAGAAGTTTTGTCTTCCACCTGTCAATAATCAAAAACTTACGTTTGAATTGATTAAGAATTTCGAAAACAATATTAATTATTTAAATAATAACAATAAAATAGAATGCCGTAATCGATTTGTTTCTACTCTCAAACATATGAGAGTCTCTAAATTCAATAATACTACATATTACGGAGATGTCATTCAAGCTCAGAAACTCACTCGTCAATTTATAAAAAATCATCCTTCTATTGCTTTTACTAGAGCTGATAAGGGTAATGCGGTTGTTGCAATAGATAGGGACTTGTATACGAGTCGAATGGAGGAGATGCTTTCTGATACCAACACGTACGTTCTTATAAAAAAGAATCCAGTGATCTCTATATTGAATTCTCTCAAAGTTTTAATTAAGAGATGGAAGGCTCGCGATTATATCTCTGATCTAACATATAAAAATTTAAATACATCTATAACTATCCTTCCTAGAGCCTATGGAGTTCCGAAGATACACAAACCTGGTAATCCTTTCAGGATCATTATTTCTTCTATTAATAGTCCTCTACATAACTTGGCAATGTTTTTACATAAAATAATTAAAAAAAATCTTCAACCCCCGTCGAGTTTTGTTTATAATAGTTTCTATCTTGCTAGTTTGATCTCCAACGTTAACTTCGATGATAATTTCGAACTCATTTCACTCGACGTTGTATCTTTTTTTACTAACATTCCATTTGAACTTGTAATTAGTGGTTTGGAAAAGAGATGGTGTTTAATTACACATAATACAAGTTTACCTAAAGAGGAATTTTTTCTAGCAATTAATTTGGTATTTAACTCTACTGTTTTTCTGTTCAATAATAAATATTATAAACAGACCTTTGGAGCTCCTATGGGTTCTCCTCTCTCTCCGATTCTTGCAGACATTGTAATGCAAGATCTGGAAATATCCGTTTTTGAATCTCTTTCCTTCCGTCCACCTTTACATGTAAGATACGTTGATGACATAGCTCTCATGGTACCTAAAGAGCAATTTGATGCTGTTTTAAATCTTTACAATACTTATCACCCACGACTTCAATTTACTTTGGAGGTGGGTTGTGACAGACTCAATTTTTTGGACATTACTATTATTAAAAATAATAACAAATTAATACATGTGACTGGTATCATAAGCCAACGTTTTCTGGTAGATACCTTAACTATTATTCCAACCACCCTATATGTCAAAAAAGAGGCACGGTCATCAGCCTCGTGGACAGGGCCTTCTTTTTATCACATCCGAAATTTCATTCAAAAAATTTTGACTTTATATTTAATTTATTAATTGACAATAATTATCCTACGGACTTCATATATGACAATTTCATAATTAGACTGAAACAGAATTTTTATAAAAACAATGACATAAGAAGGTTTCTGTCTAGCAAGAATTCTAATGACATACAGCGTCACTGGTTTGTCTTACCTTATATTAACAAATTTTCTGAGAGATTTTCAAATATATTTCCTACTGACTCTCACACGCGATTAGCTTATTATAACCTAGACAAACTGGGGAAATTCATCAACGTTCTTAAGGATCCTTTACCTCTTCTCTCACATCTTTCCGTGGTATATAAGATCAATTGCCGTGACTGTGAAGCCTCGTATGTAGGACAAACTGGCAGAATGTTACAGGCCAGAATTAAGGAGCATAAAAGTCACATCAATAGAAATTCCACTCAAAGATCTGTAATTACTGAACATAGACAGCAATATTCACATGATTTTGAGTGGGCAAAGGTAGAAATTTTGGATTTTGAGAGATCATACAGGAAAAGGTTGGTATCAGAAATGCTACACATAAAAAGTCAAGTCAGCGGACGTAATTTACAGTGCGACACAGAAAATTTAAATAATGCCTATTTACCGTTTGTCGATAAGACATTGTAAATTGATATGTTTCTCGTTCATTTTGAATTCTATCTTTATACACACGTTGTTTCCCAGTCGCATTTCCACCTTTGTAAAGTGTTGGTCGGGATGGCTAGTGTGGATATCCACGATCAACATTCAGCGACCTATTTTATCTAATATAATTTGTAAGTGACATTGTATATTATATTTTCTGCGATTTTTAATTAATTTTTATTTTTTTATTTTTTTTCATTTTTTGTATCTTATTAATTGTTTTTATATGTTATTTATTGTAGAAATGCATTTGAAAAGGACCTAATACAAGGTCGAAAGCGTTCATGCTAATTTAATTGTTTAATAAACGGATTTAAATGTTTACACTCTAACAACAGTGTTATTGCTTCAACAGCCAACATTTATTGTTCTTTGAAAATTCTTGAAGCTTCATACAATCATCTTTACATAAATAAGTTGTAATATGATATGGATGACAAGCAAATTCTAATTCCTGAAGGATCGTACGAATTGCGGGATATCAACAATTATCTGCAACATGCAATGGTGCAACGTAATGCGAGAAGTGAAGATAAAGATGAGGACATCGCATCACTAATATTACGCGCAAAAACTAACACAATGAAAAGTGAAATAAACTGCGCTTATCAAATTAATTTTATTAAATCTGACACCATTGGATCGCTGTTGGGATTTTCGTCAACTCGTATTTTAGATCCACGACAGTGGTATGTATCAATCGTGCCGATTAATATTATCAACGTTTACATTATCCTAATAGAGTGCAACGCGACTGCGGGTGCGTACAGTAACAACCGGTGCGTGCATACGACACATGAGTTCTCACCGAACGTGCCACCAGGATATAAGATCTCGGAAACAGCTGCACAGATCATTTATTTTCCGACCATCGTGCAGAGCATTACGGATCTGACGATATGTATTGTGGATCAGAAAGGGCAATTGCTTCATTTTCGAGGAGAGGAAATAATCGTCAGGTTACACGTGCGACGCCGACGAGTGTAATACGCGGCATGCTCGTGCTGAACGAGGCGGATCAATTGACGCGAAATACGAGGTTTCCATTACAAACACTACTACGACGTATAGTAATCGGAAGAAGGTGAGTTTGATAAACGGTATATTTGTATAATTGTTAAGATTTATCGTACGCAAATTTTGAAATTATAGTCGACATTTTAACCGTTGGAGGTGAGCCGATCTTTGTCGATCGTATCGTCAAGATTGAAACTCACACGTACACTCCGTATGTGAACACGACATTTGAACTCAGTGATGAGATACGCATACAACATCAAGACTTGTATACTTTACCGTGTCAAAGTTGTCTTTATGTTCAAGGAAAAATTACATTAACGAAGAAGAATGAAGAAAAAGTATATTTGAGTAATAACTGTGTGGCTTTTATGTTTGATGATATTTGCTTTGAACTCAATGGTGTGGAGATTGATCGTAATAGAAACGTTGAAATAATCAGCAGTATCAAAAATATTACTGTTCCGTCCGAGCCATATTTTTGACTTAACTTTTTTACTAATACCTCACATGTAAACTCACCATATTCTTATGCATAAGTACACTTTATAATTATTGCGTTCCTTTTTTTTTGCGCAGGAGAAATGTATTTACGCACACCCTGACCCAGACTAGGTTTGGGCCAAGATAGTGTGGGACTCGCCCCACCAGAGCGCACCCCGGTGGGGAATATCCACTGAAACCCTTGCGGTGTCCACCTTCCGCTCTTTTAGGGCTGCCCCGGTACCTTTTTTAAAACGACCCAAAAACAGCCCGATAGGCATGGGGACTTTCGTCCTCCTATCTTAAATAGAGGAGCAAAGCTCCTCTACAATCGGGGGGAGACACAGCCCCTCTCCCGCCGTCTGCGAGCCGAGTGCAATGAAGGGGGAACCCCTCTCGGCCTCAAGTCAAACGCCGAAGCGGACTTGACCCCATGATAGTAGTATTGACCTCCCTATTGTCTCGAAACGCGAAACAAGAGGGAGGTCCTCCCCCCACATTGCGCTCAGCCACCGCTGAGTTGAGTCTCAACTAGGGCTCAAAACAACGGGAACCGGGCCACCACTTAACATTGCCTGGTCTCTTAAAAGAGAACCAGGCGTCGCCATCTATATCTGGTGCTAAACGCACCAGATATACGGAGGAGCGGCTCCCCGGACCCTTGTATCGGAGCCGGGGAGAACCGCATCCTCCCTACCCTCGTCAGGGTTTGCTAACGGGCACGGAAGCTCCCCGGCCGATGGCCAAGCACCGGGCCCCGCCCATTCGGTGGGAGGACTCCCGGCCCGACCCCTCACAGAGGGGACACCCCTCATCCTCTGTACAACCGGCCGCTCTGTGCCCCGGCCGACCACAGCAATAACAAAGATTACTGCGGTCGATCTGGCTGGAGCACAGAGCTCTGCAGTGCCCAGGCTGGAAACACTTGTAGCACTGCAGGGGGCGGGGACGGAGTGCTCGCACCCTTGCCACCACCCAGCCCACTAAAACTTTACCCTTTAATCGCCTTGGCCGCCGCTTCAGCTGGGCAGCGAACCAAGGCGACTCCACCCACGGGCTGGGAGCGACGCAGGGATACTACCCTAACGCCACTCCCGTCACCAAACTCTGCCACGAACTCTTTGCAGAGATCGTCCTCCGTGGTGAACTCTTCCAATCCCGAAACTAATATCTCCACGTTTCGGGATGGACGAGCCACCCTGACTTCTTCGGGGAGAGCCTCTTTCAACTTGGAGGCGAGGAGGTCCGCCTTGGATTTGCTGTCTGCTTTGGATTTGCGGTCCTCCTCTCCCACCTCCAATGACAAGTGTTCCTCCAGGGTCCGACAGACCCGGGAGACGCCCGCCGACCTAGGGTCCACCTTATTTCTCGCGTCTCGAAAGACTTGAGCATACGACATGCCCTCCCCCTCGAGACGCAAGGTAACCGCCTCCGGGGTGGTACTCTATTGACCACAGTACGATTCGACACCGCTCGATTCGACACAGATTTATTCGACACCAAATTATTCGACACCGTACGATTCG